GATAGTCTGTCTTTTAAATCATTTCAGATCTGATTTTGGTCTTTCATAGAATCTGAAAAAACTAACATTGTTTTATTTTAGTCTTGGGAAGAGTTTCAAAATGTGAGATTTTAGCACTTTGACATTTTTGAACACATCAGCACTTACTGTACACTATCTTGCATTTTATTCATTTTATTTTATTTTATTTTATTTTATTTTTACAAGATGCCATATTCACAAAGAAAAGACTTGGAGGTTTTTGAAACTTTCAGGCACCCAGATTTGAGTTCCTGGTGATTCAGCACCACCTGTAAACCACCCCCTCCACTCCATCTGGTGATACAGGAACCTCTGAGGAGACGTCAGTGACTCATGTAGCTGTGACCCACAGCTCTCCGCTCCTCTCGGTGCTGCTGTCCGTTTGTTAACAACATGGTCCGACTTACCGGACTGCAGTCATTTCACAGCTTGAGCAGCTTGTTTTTAAGCCCCCACAGTTTGTAACGTGTACTTTTAAACCACACCTGTTTTCAATAATCACACAGTTCAGATGCTTTGAAGTGGGGTTCTGTGGACAGGCTATAAACAATAAACACGTTACCTGTTGTGGATAGCGCTTTGAACGTCCTAAGATGAAAAGATTGACGAGCAAACGGGTAACTGTAGTGGAACCAGAACTGAAGTGGATTGTTCTTGTCTTAAAACAAAACAAGTTTCAAACTTTTCTCAGTTTCTATAAACACTAAAAGGATTTACATCGCTGTCTGTGTCACATCACAGATATTTATGTAGGACTCTAGTTGTAGCACTTCTACTGCAGGAAAGTCACCTTCCTTCCAGAGTTAGTGTTCCCTCACCTATCGCGGGGGTTACGTTCCAGACACCCCCACGATAGGTGAAAATCTGCGAAGTAGGGATGTTATATTTATTTTCACATTTACATATATTATAAGGCTTTATAAACCCTTCCCACACTCTTTCAGTGTTCTAAACAATGTTCTAAACACTCTAAAAGAGCACAGCGTGTCATGATCTCTGCCACCTGCCACGCCCACTTCTCCACCACAATCACATTCATGCTCATCACCTGTGTCACTCCCAGTCTCCCTCCTGCTCCCCAGTCTCTGCCAGTTTGTCTGATCGCCTCGTGCCTGAAGCATCCAGCATTCTTGTTCCTGCTCTCGTTCCTAAAGGTTCAGTTCGGACAAGCCATGCCGCTCGTGCGGCTCACTCAGGTATAAGACAGACTGCCCCGCCCCCTCCTTTCTTTTTCCGAGGCTGTCTGTTACGCGCCTGCTTTTTGTGCATCTCTGGGACAAGATGGGGAAAGACACACCCCACCCCCTCCTTTCTCTTTCTTTGCTGTGACAGACAGCCTCAGAAAGAGAAAGGAGGGGGCGGGGAGGTCTGTCTTATAACTGAGTCAGCTGCGCTCAACCACTCTCTCTCTCTTTTTTGTACAATTTTACGTTGAAAACCCGCGAAAGAGTGAAAGTCCAAACGTGAAGTGAAGTATGGAGGGACTACCGTGTTGTGTGATGTCAAACTGATGACGGTGTAAAAGTTAATGAAACAACAGTTTAAGGGCTCGGACAACAGAGGTCCACTTTGGTCCTGGCCCTGCTCAGACTAGCCATTAGCACGCCAGTCCAGAGGTAAACTGTTCAGAGCTATCCACAACAGGTAAGATGTTTATTCAGAACATTTCCACAAAGCTGCAACTTTTAAAAGAGTTTTTATGATTGTTTTGTTTCTGGTGTTGCACGTTATCATCAAGACGAGCTAAAAGTACTTGGACCGACACCGGCTGCTCTTTCCTTTGAAGGCTGAAAGATTAAAAACAAAAGAAGCAAATAAAAAAAATAATAATTATTTGCAGATGTGAACCGGAAATTTTTTTGAAGAAAATTTATAAGCATATTTGGAGCAATTGTCTTCTTTTTTTGTTTTGTTTCGGCCACACAGGAATTATTAACGAAGCTTCAGATCCTCATAAATGTATTCTCAGTGAACAGATTCTGTATAATCGAAGCATTTCATAAAAATCAGCAGGTTTGTGAGACTAAAAACAGCAAATTATTTTATTTGTGGATAAATTACTGTTTTCTTCACTGGATGAGAGCTGTTGTCTTAAAGACTTTAGACTGATTTCAGATCAAATCTAACTGAGTTGGAACTTTTTTCACAACATATTGATTCAGGCTGTAGAGTTCAGTATTTTTAATAATCAAAGCAGAAAGTCAAATTAGACAGGTCCTCACTTCCTTCTAACTGTGAACACTCAGAGGGTTTAGTTTATTTACTTTCACAGAAATTTGGCAATAATTAGCATTTAGGAGGAGCAAAAACAAACACATCATGCTTTTTTTTTGTGTGGAGCTTCAGTAAATCATTTGTTGTTCCAAATGCTGATAGATTCTCACCGTGTACAGTAACTTTACTCAGTTCAGTGTGTTTTTTATCTTATTACTGTAGTAAAACAGGTGGAACACTTGCAGCCGTGAACAATCTGATTTAAGCTACACCGTGCCTTTACATTACACAACCAAGTAAGAAAACTAAAAAAAAACACGTCATTTTCTCCTACAAATGTGTGTAGTTCTAACAAGGGTGCATGTTTATTATTATTTTAATGTTTCCATACTAATTTGTAATTTGCTCCTGTTTTATTTAAGCCGTGCTACGTTTAGTTTTAGTTCACTGGAGGCTCTGAAATGTCATTTCTTCAGGGGGGGTTGAAGTTGGGAATTGTTTTGTGTTACAGCATGACAATCAAACAGGAGGACGTTTTGTACAGCCAAGATATTTTTGCAAAGATTCATCATCTTTAAATGGGAATGGCGGCCGTTCTTTTTTGCAGTGGTTCGGCAGGTGGAAACACCTCGTTCTTGACCTTCGGTAAAAGTTTGTCGCTCAAGTGGAAGACAACGACTTTGTGTGCCTTTTATCACAGAAAAACAAGTTGGGAAACGCAGTTATTTGCTTTGACGTGGAGGTGGATTTGAGAATACTCCACTGTTGTGTCTCTACTTTAAATCTGAAGCAGTGGATATGGAATATTTCAACTTTCTTTAAGACCAACAACCTTACAGATGCCTGTTCTCTGTGTGATGTTTGAAGTAGCTGTCGTAGAGCTGTAATTTTGCTGGTTTGTGTATTTATTCTTTGAATTGGTCCTTTAAAATACAGATTTGGTAAAACACTTGGTTCTGTGTTTATTTTGTGTCTCTCTCTCAGTGACCACAACCTGTCTGCTGCTCTGTGCCCACAGTAATTGAGTGTTTGCATCGGGGTCATTTGCCATTCAAATCACGCTCGTCCACAACAGCAACAACATCCAGAGCTGTCGGGAAACAAAAGCCGTGATTCCTGTGAGGTTATAGACCGAGAAACTGCGGAGACGAGACAAATTTATTAATTGTTTTTTTGCACAAGAAGCACATTTTTTATTTTTTTTGTTCACACATCCTATCTGACAAATAAGACTTTAAAAGTTTGTTTCTCTTATTTTTTCTTATGTGCCAACCATAATTTATTTTCTTATTTTATAAGATAAATTGTATTTCAAAGGAGTGAATTTAGTTTGTTTTGGACCAAAGTTCGTTACATAACAGCAGCTTTGGCTCAGTTGCGCCCCCTGCTGTCACTTTGTTGACGCACAAAGTTTCTCTACAGTACTTTACGTACTGTTTAATCAAATTTACTTCATAACGAGGGGGTTCGGATCCTTTTCACTGGGGCAAAGGTCCCAGAATAACCGAAGGGTCCCAGTAAAATTTACAGAAACATATTTTTTTTATCAGATAATAAAAAGAAATATAAATAAAGCTTGAATGAAAATAAAAAAAGATATCCATCATAAAATACACAGATTACTGTGATAAAACATTTTTTAAACTATCATCATGCCGTTTTTCAATTGGCTTTTGGGATGGAGCACAAACGTGGTCTCGTGGGAGAATTTAAAACTGAAAAACGGTACTTAAAATGAGATGGCAGTACATAACAGGGTAAATAAATACAGGATACTATGAGGGGTATTTACAGGTGTACATACAGGGTAATTACAGGTACTTATAGAGTACTTATGGAGGTACATACAGGGTACTTGCAAAGGCAAAAACTGTATTTTCGGGTGTATTTTTAGGGTACTTACAGGATAATTACATGTATTTGTGGGGTAAAGTACCTTTGGGAACCGGTGGCTGTATGTCCAGCAGCTACGTAAAAAAGTTCAGACTTTAAAAGGGTATTTTCTATGTTTTAATTCTTTGTTTTTTAATCACATGTAACTTAAAAATATATTTTTTCTCAAAATACTCAACTTTGAATCAAAAATTTTTATACACCCTAATTCTACAAGTAACAAAAAGTGCAACTAGGGAAGGAACATAATGTTGTTGTTTGTCTTCGTTTCTTGTTAAGATAAGGAACGACAGACTTCATCAAACCTCATCAAAACAACAAACACTGAACTGCACCGTCCTCTGACCACCACTAGATGGCAACAAACACAATTCACTGACGAAGACCATACCATTTTTTTTTTTACCATTTTATTTACACGGATATTGAAGGTGCTTTAAGTTGGATTTTTTTTTTAACTATTTCTTCTCGATGCAAACACGGTTTATTTTATTTTACTTATTTTCCCACACACATCTTGTAAAGGTGAATTTTGAAGACGGCAGACTTATTTTCTGCTGAGTAATAAAAACAACCATCCACTAAAGTAGGGCAGTTTGTTTTTCTTGGAGAAATTGGAGGCAGGGCTCCTCAACAGCCAATCAGAACAGAGGGCAGGGCGTGCGCGAGGTGGAAAAAAAAAACATTGCTGGGAATTCCAGCTCATTTTTGTGATTCGGTTCTTTTGGCTTGGTTTACCAAACGAGTCTTCACTGAAAGGATCTGTGTTCATTACTGTTCAACGCATTTATTTGCTGCCGTTTCCTGTAAATATGTAGGATATTCAGGGTTTTTAATGGCAGCCAGTATACCCCACCACCCTGAAAATCATGCACAGGTTAAATACACGAAAATTTTGTAAGAAAATTAGGAGATAGAAATAGCTCACAATAAAAATAGCTAAACTTTTGTGCAAAAATAATTATTAATAATGAAGATAATTTTAGATATTTGTGTCCTTAAAGAAACTAAAAACTAAGAGTCAGCGCCTCCAACAATCGGGTTCCAATTTTCGGCGCGATACCAACTCCTGGTAGTTCATGTCAACAAGGTAGCAAAAAGAGCCGGCTCGGTTGCGATAAACGCGTCACAAAAAAAAAAAAAAAAAAAAAAACAAAAAAAAAAAAAAAAAAAAGAACAGACGGTTCTTCATCTATTATTTGTTTAGGTGTCAAAGGAGAAGTTTAATGACACCGAGGCTTCAAAAGTGAGCGGACGGGAAGCTAAAGCGCGAGGTACGTGTTGTGCTTATATTTGTTACCATGTGAGAGTCGGTGTGCGCGCGCTAACACGCTGCGTCAACGAACGGTTCTGCCTCCTGCATGATGAAGTTGGTAAATAGGGTATGACCTCGTGCTGACAAACTGGATTAAACGCTTGCAGCAGCAACAGAAGAAGAAGAAATAGGAGGACCGCTAGCGAGTGACCCCAGCTAGCCGCAGCTTGACCACATACTGCTGTTTAGCTAAGGACCGTTGACCTCTGAGAGTCGGAGGACCTAGCAGAGAGCCCGCACGGCAGCTTCTGGTGAGCTATTTAAACTAATTTAACATAATGCACGATCATCCACGACACGTTACCACTCGGTTAATCTCTTTACAGCCATTCTTAGTATCAAACGGGAGTAAAATGAAGGCTGCTCGGCGTGTTGACGCACCTCAGAGATATGGCGGCTCTGTTAGCTTCGAGCTGCAGACTCCCAACTTCAACTCGAGTGTCCGAGCAGAAAGCACTCGTTTAGTTGTTTTTAAAGCTCGTTTAGACGCGGATAAGATAAATACAGGGTCAAATGGTTCGATTTTCTGCTCTGCGAGGCGTGTTTTTTTTAATTAATTAATTTTTTAATAATTCTCAAAAAGTGAAGTGAAACTGTTGCACCACTTATGCTAATGTGTGAATATGACGCATTCCTGGGACACAAACCGAGCTCATATATTTGTATTAATTTGTCTTTAAATCAAATCTGAAAACACGTCTTTTCTTGATTTAATTGCATTTACAGAATTTGTTTAAAAACGCATGATATTGTTTTTAAATTGTTGCAGGAAATCCATAAAAATCGCCTGCTCATGTTATATGTTTCCTAAGTAAATGTACATTAAATAAACATTTTAACCTGCAGGTTTTTATAAACAGCATATTTTATATCTGGACTATTCAACTGGTGGCCCGGGGGCCATATCTGGCTTGAAGCTGAGCTCAGTGTGGCCCACAGGCGAAGATGTTAAAATTATAACTAGATTTTAAATCATAAATTACATTTACATAATGACGACAATTGAAGGATGTTCTGCCCCTGAGCAGCTGGCTGTATGTTAATAATAGACATATTTAATGGCTTGTTTTATGGCCTTTTTTAACATGCTGTAATGCAGTTTAAAATGATTTAAATTCATCTGATACTCGTTTCCTGTTTATTTTCAGTCAGGTCAGCTGAACGCTATAACAACATTAAGTATTGCCATTTTAATGATGGAGTGGTATTCGTTTCAGGACATGAAATGTACTTTTGCACGTCGCAGTGCTTGTTTTTGCCTCCCAACTTTTTTCCCACAAGTTGTGAAGGTGATGCTGCTGTGGCGGCTCCAAACCTTTCCCACTTCTGGCTCAGGTTCAGTCGCCAAGGACAGCGATAGTTTACGGTCAGCGAGCCATGAGTGTGTACTTACCAGCATTCAGGCAGGGACTAAAGCTATTTTAAATTGGCGTGTGAGGCAGACAACAGCTGGGGGTTTACTGCTTGTGTTCATCGTTGTGCATTTATAGTGTTTTCCTTTTCTTCTGTACAGAAAGAGGTTTGTCTCCTTTTTCATATAGACTTTAAATCCAAAGTGATGATAAGAAACGGGTAAATCAATTTCTGAGAATAAACATCCACAGATGGGCTCATTTTTTATTTCCAAGTGTCAACGAAGTGGTCACAGTTGACATTTATTGGGGAAAAAAATGTATGTTAATAAAACGAATAACATATTGTAGGTGTGGAAATGGGTGCGTTAGCTCCATGTGGTAGCTTAGAAAACCCATCTGTATTCCTATATTTGAAATTAAATCCATTTAAATGTTGAGGGGGGGGGGGTGCATTTTCACTTTTTAAACAAGAATGTTGTATCAGAGTAAAAACCAACCATATCGTACAAAAAGAAAGTCCATGCAAGAGATCGAGTTGGGGATTTTTTTTTTCGTATAAAAGTATAAAATTCAAGAATTTCTGTTTGTTTTTGAAGGCAAAAACAATATGTTTTATAAGTTTAGCTTTACTCTGAGTGTCTTGAGTGATATTGTGTCTTTAACGTACCATCACAAAGCAATGAGCCACACCTATAGAGGAGAAAATAACACCCATCAGTGCTCCACAGTGATCAAAGGTCCAACCAGTATCTGTCCAAACTCATCAGTAACAGTTTAATATGGAGATAAGATAAAATACATTGAGTTAATTATTTCTAAAAAAAAAAAAAAAAAAAAATTTAAACATTTGCTTTTGGACTTTAAATCATACAGTATACCCACACTCAGTTTTCAGTCCACCATGTTCAATGCCCCATAAATGGTGAGTAAAGTTATGGTGAATAAATGTTCATCGTTCAGTTCTTCCACCGACAAATGTCACTTTTCCAATTGGGCGTCCAGCTTCAGATATCCACAGCTGCTTTTCCTGTTTACACTGAAGGGCGTGGCTTACTCCATCTGAAGCCGAACAGTCGACCCGCGGTCACGTGGTTGCAGAACACACTTTTCATAGACCACGAGATTCATGGCTCCTGGGGAACTCTGCGATATACTGTACGTCACGGCGCGGGTGTTTCTGAACATCAGAGCACTTTTCTGTATCCACACACTTCCGATCAATCACGTAATACTTTTGCGTACTTCTGTGACAAAAAGTTCGTCCCAGGCCTTGTGTTGAGAAGGGACGAGCGAAGCTGCTCTGAAAACAAAACGATCCAGTTATCGTGCAATTAGTCAATGAGCGCTGATTTTGCAGCTACGGATGGAGCAGCTAGGGCCCTTAACTTTTGTTGAAATCCAAAATATAACAAAGAAACTCGCATTTCAAACACGTGACATGGACATGCATCTCTGCCTGTGACTCGGAACATTAAAGATACATAAGCAGCAAAAATGGCTACAGTTTGACATGATTCAGCTCTCAGCCACGATGCAGTGAGTCGATGTGTGTAGATTCAACACAATGTGTCTTATTGATGATCCTTCACTTTTATGAGACTAAATAAACTCTTAAATGATATTCATGGCATGTAGGGCTTAGATGTGATGCCATTTCAAGTTATTTACAACTGAATAAATGTGGTGAGTGTTAAAAATGTCCCTTTAAACTTTTTAAGATCTTTTTTTAGTTTTTTCCTACAACAATTAACTATGAATGCCTCAAAATATAACTAGTTGAAATGTTTTTAGATGTTTCATTCAGTTTTTATTCTAAGTAATAAGAATGTCATTTTGACTTGTAAGTGTGCTGCTCACTGAGATCTGTTAAGGTATGAAAAACAGAAGCTTGGTGTGATTAAATGGTACAACAGCCTGCCTGGCAGGCTGGAAGGAGGAAGATGACCTATTTACTGATCTAGTCGGTATATGTGAAGTGTTTACGCTCACACTGCTGAGCTTGTTTTTTTGGTTCAGTTCCAGCCGAGCGGAGGTGAAGCTATTCGTCGCTCTCAGTCTCAACTTGTGTCACAACGATGACACGCTGGAATGCAGCGAACGTTTGTTTGTTTAGATAAGAGTCCGCCATGTGAACTCTTTTTTTTTTTTTATGTTACAAATTGACCTCAATTCATCGCATTTATTGTTGGGTCTTTGAGGAGATTGTTTTAATAGAAAGCAAACACCCAAACCTCTCAGCCGTTTCAAATGCGGTCTGAGTCCGGCACGGCGGCAGACCTTGAACATGAGCTGAACACGTGCGCCAGCATTGGCTGAAATAGCTGAAGCCTTTCTGCTGCACTCATCCTCCTCTTTCATTTCCAGGGAGAGTTCCAGATCCAGTCTATGACCCCATATTCAAACGGATTCATCTTTCCTTTTAATGTGCGTTTATTCACGCCTGAACAGAACGGACCGGAGGTCATCCATATTTTTAGGCAAAGATTTAAAGCCAGAACAGCTGACAAGTGTTATTGATCTCCGTCTCTTTTGTCTTTTAACGCTTTCTGACAGTTTATTTTGACAACATTACATACAGTATCTGGACAGCATTTTGTGTCTTTGTGTTTGTTTTTAGCTAACGTTATTTTAAGTGTGCGCACAGTTGTTTGGCAGTAACACTAACCCTGAGTTTCTCTATTGTTTATCTTGTGTTCAGCCCATCATGGCGACTGATATGGTCTTACTCATGCGAGGCTTGGCCAAGCTGAGCCAGGCAATCGTAGAGACTCAGAGCAACACCTTACGCAACGGGACAGGCAAGTACACGCAAACAATTTGCTTTCCGTCTGTTAATATTTGGATCAAAGTGCTCTTTGAGCTATAATTATCTATTGGGTTCAATGATATTGGAGTTCACATATGATACAAATTAGGTAAATGGTCATAAATGATCATGCAAGAAGTTCTAACCATTTACAAGCTTTTTGTGTTTGGGGTTATTTTATTTAACACTTTTGATGCAGAAACACTGATTTTACGTTCATCATCCACCCATTTTTTTACCCACATGAGCATTAAAGTCCCCCAGCAGAGTAAAAGAGTCAACTGGAGCACCTTCTAGCTCCCACTCTAAAGACTCTAATAGGTACAAACAGTCAGAGCTCGTCCCCCCACCCAAAGTCACAGGGAAACTACCCTGTCATCTACCGAGGAAAACTCCCAACTCACAGGCACCTAGTCTGGGGGCTTCAAGTAGACCCACACCAGCCTCTCACCATGAGGAACTTCAGAGTAGAATAAAGTCCAGCCCCTTTCAAAGAGATCGGTTCCAGAACCCGTGCTCTGAGTCAAGGTGAGCCCAACGATATCTAGTCGGTATCTGTCAACCTCACACACGCTCAGGCTCCTTCCCCACCAGAGAAACGACGTTCCACATCCCAAGACCCCCACCTTTGAATGGCACCATGCACCTGACTAATGGCCCCTCCTGCAGGCGGTGGGCCTTCTAGAAGGCAAACCCATGTTACTCATTGAGACTGAGCCCAACAAGCCTCATGGGTAGAGGTCACTGTTCACTGACAATCCCCTCCCCCAGGCTTGGCTCCAAGGTGAAGCTCCAGTAACGTACGTTCAGGTGAGGGACATCTGGTTGTCTTCTGTCCAGACGAGCATTCTGAATGTTTTGGAAACTCAACTACTGTGTTGTTCTCATTAACACATCGTTGATTCATAAAAGATTCAAGGTGTCAGCTCAGCTTTCAGGGCTAACCCATAAATCATCTTACAGCTAGTGGACAACTCTTGCTCTGTCAAAGTATCTCAACGAGTTTTACACCAGGACCTTTGAAAATACTTTTTGGCTTATAATGAAAGAAAACAAATTGCACTAAAACAAACACTAAATATCAAATTATAACATTCCTAACAAATCGTCAAATGTGGTGTTCGATTCCCAGGAGCTGCAGGAGTTGGTGCTGCTGTTGAAAGTGTCCAAACAGCTGCAGAGCAAGGCTTGTCTGCAGCCATGATGAAAATGCAGGTGGGTCTTTTTTTAAGATAACAATCTGTAGCATTACAAATTAGCAATCGTTATCTTTTTTGATGGAAAATGTTGTGTTTTAATATAAGTGCTCATCTGACTACATTTATCTGTCTCCACAGGAGCTGTCCGGTCAAGAACAAACCACCTCATCAGAGTCAGAGTTTGACTTTCCTCAGAATGATCTGCTGTTCACCGAGTCGGAGTTCAGAGAAGGAGGCACAAACTTCACCTCAGATCGCTCAGGAAGCAGCGCTAATGCTGCAGCAGGGACAAACCATGTCGGTGGAAAACAGTCCGTGTTTGAGGGATACAAAGATCCGAGTAAACAGTTTAGCGGTCACACCAGGTCGTATCACCAGGATGCCAGGTATAAACCGTGTCTAAACGAGTCCCTGCCCAGTTAATGATGTTTGTGTCCGATTAAGATAAACTCGTGCGCTTTGTGTTTGGCAGGCCTTTTCTTGGACAACGTCAGCTCTACAGCCACAGCCTGAGCAGGCATGTGTTGCAGGAGATAAATGGTCAGCATCCAGTGAGTCATTTCAGGAGCTACCATCAGGATCAGTCCTCAGTGGGCGGCCTGACAGCCGAAGACATTGAGAAAACCAGTCAGGGCAAGAGGGGCGACATAAAACCGCACAAACAGATGGTAATTACTGCTCGCAAAACAGAAGTAGTATTCATGTGATGCTGGTTTTCCTCTTGCAGATGGATATTCAAATGAAAACGTCACCGCTGTTTGTTTTTTCTTAGTTAAGTGAAAGAGCCAGAGAGAGGAAGGTGCCGGTGACTCGGCTCAGCAGACTGGCTAACTTTGGAGGTACATGAACGCAACTCTGTGTCTGAATGTTGGCGATTCATTGGCTGTTTGAAGCTGAGTTCATGTCTGTCCACTTGTGTGTGTGTGCAAGTCTGCATGTTGCAACTACAATAATCTAAATATTTGACGCATCAGGCCACTGGGGGAGTCTTTTGTGCAATTTGAAGACCAATTTAAGAAAGTTTTTCTATATAACTGCTGTTCGTTGACAGATGGTGACAATAGGTAATTGCTTGCCTGACAGGCTGTAGTTTTTGGGGTGCTTTAAAGCTTCAGAGCTATTCTTTACTCCATTAAAGCAGTTTTTTTTTAATAACCATGTCAGAAGTTTAATTCTCAGCCAGCCAAAGTGAGGGGATTGTTTCCACTAAAAGGACATTGCAGAGGGGTTAAGTATGCAGTGTGTCTCTCCACTCTGGATTAGTGAAAACTCAGGATGCACAAATATCTCTGGCTAGCAGAATTAGCATAGATATGCTAATTGCCATGAGAGAGCACGCTGCCAGCACCAAGACATGTGCTACATACTCAAGCTGACATATTGATAAAAACATTAGTCAAATTCATCTCGGTGCATATTTTTAGGTACGTATAAAACATTTGGTTTCGCTGTTGCTTTCTGAGCTGTCATAATTGGCATATAATGAGTATAAAATACAATAGTTGTATTTAAATAATTGTATTTTATTAAATGTGAAGAACCCTGATGATGATTCATAACTGCGTTACCTTTTAAGCGTCTGAACAGTGATATTTATCAAGGCTGCTGCCTCTCACGTAAACAAACTTCTCGTCTTTGTGTGACTGCTACAGATAGAAAACGGTATTTGTTGTCTCAGATTTACTTCTGTACACCAACGTCGGTGCTCAAGTTGAATTTGGTCTCTCTGCGGGACTGGTCGAACTGGTTGTGAACGGCTAAGACTGAACACAATGAAATATTACAAACCGCAGCAACTGTGAACCACGTTGAAGTCGAAGGATGTCACAGATGCAAAGTATGAGACGTCGGAGAAGATGAACCGAATGCAAACAGGCTGGATTGATAAAGCAATCAGAAATACAGTTTCCACCTAGAATCACTCAACTTTCCAACCAGGATGGTTCTGAGTGATAGGATATCTGCCTGTTGCTTTGTTTAGTTCCAACTTTCTGTTTAAAAAAAAAAAAAAGCATCCTGTGGAAAATACCAGATTTAGTCATCTATGAGAGATCTTCTGTGTTTTGCTCACTCACATATCTGGTAGTTGTAAAAACCTGCAATGCCAGTTGTAAATGCATTGAATGTTGTTCCTAAAGACGAGCACAAACAAAAAAAAAAGTCTTTCTAACCTTTTGCAAAGCTTTTATTTCACACACAAGCACAGTGAAGTGCTCAGGTCTGCTCTTAAACCCGGTCAGGAGCTCGTAGCTTCATTTCATATGACAGACAAGTAAGCAGGTGAAGTTAGGCTGAAACTGGACTTGTGAAAGAGAAGCACAAAAACAAATCCAGAGCAGTGTGATGAACTGGAACAGACCGCCAACGTAAACATGTGCTGCAGAATTTAGCCACAGCCGGTTTCAGACAACAGGGATTAACAGGAGCTGCAGCGAGGTGCAGCAGGTGAATCTGAGGTGATTCAGCAGGTGGTCAGTGGTCACATTAAGCTGCTGGTGAAGAGTTGGAGAGAGACTGTGTTTATTACTTTATTCCTCTAATGTTCTACCCGTTTATTATCACTTTTGTAGCAACAGGTGCATTTTTAAGGCACTTTCACGCTGTCATCTGTTGGCTTGTTTCCCTGGAAATGCCATACCATACCACTTTATTTATAAAGCGCTTAAAACGGCAACAAGGTCAACCAAAGTGCTGTACAGCAAAACAAAACAAGCAAAGGACACAGCATAAAATACATAGATCCCAATAGGTAAAGATAAGAACTAAATGACTAAAATAGATTGCAGACAAGTTAAAATCAGCTGACGGTGTCAATAACCAGAGAGTAAAAATGTGTTTTAAACAAGACTTAAACACAGTGAGAGAGGGAGCCTGTCTGACATTCAGTGCTAACTCATCCCACAGTGTTGGATCTGCATCAGAGAAAGCCCCGTCACCTTTGAGCATAAAACGAGTGCCTGGACCCAATAAAAGCATCTGATCTGCTGACCTCAGAGAGCGAAGTGGGACATATGGCTGCAGCAGATCAGTGAGAGGGGGCAGAACTGTTCAGAGATTTGAAAACATACAGACAGATTTTAAAATGAATTCAAAAGTGAACCGGGAGCCAGTGAAGCGAGGCCAGAACTGGACTAATGTGCTCTCTTTTGCCTGTACCAGTTCAAAATCAGGCTGCACCATTTTGAACCAGTTGTAATCGTTCAGTGGAGGTCTGACTGATCCCAAAAAGAAGCGCATTGCAGTAAGTTATCAAGCCTGGACGTTATGAATGCACGTATTACCGTCTCGAGATTACTTTTGGACAGTATGGGCTTCAATTTAGACCAGTGATCCTCACTATTTTTTTTTCCCAAAAGTGTCATATTGACAGATCAAAGTCAAGGGGAGAGCTGCAATATCACCCCAAGTCACTCAAATAAAAGAAAAACATGAAACAACCCACCTGTGAACAAAAAAGAAACACAGCCAGAACATTATCTGTTTAAACAAAATGTACCTTAGTACTGAGATGAGCGGAAGCTGTGGTGCGTGTCCTTGACTTTCTTCATGTTGTATTTGTAATTTGTTGTTGCAACCACAGTGAGGCATTCAAGATGTGCATGGGTCAGTGGGTTTCTCTGTTTGTGCTTGATAGTGTTCATGGTTGAAAATGTTGACTCAGGTGTAAAAATTCAGCTTTTAGCTATCACCCCAATCGAATGAAGAAAACACAAGTCAACAACAACAATGAACAAAGTCCATGATAAACAATGAATATGCTGTAATATGTGTACGGATGAAGATACCCCCTTCACATTTTCGCCTGCCCCCTCATGTAACCATGTCTAGAACCGGCCCTGTAAGATGCTCCTACTTCCTTCACTGCAGATGACAGCAGGTGTGGAGACACGCGCGGCCGGTAGCTGATCCATCTGAGATTAACAGGACTTTTCTTTTTTTATGTCTTTTGACCAGCGGGTCAGCAGCCGCGTGCAGCTGGTGATGATCAGCTGATCCATCTGAGATTAACGGGACTTTTCTTTTTTTTTAACCTCTACCGGCTGGTCGGACCTGTCTCCTCCTCAACAAGTAGATTAGCACAATATTATTTGTAAAACCGCATCTGAGCCGACATGCGCAATCATTGCACAATGTACCAGCACGTTTTAAAAATGTATTGGCTGCGCTGGAGTATTGTTGTAACCTGTCACGAGAGCCACCAATAAAGCACGGTGAGCCACACGTGGCTCGGGAGCCGCGCATTGAGTATCCCTGATTTAGACAGTCGCCTCATATGAAAACAACAGGATTTAACAATCATGTTTACATGACTGTTTAGTGTCATGGAGACATAGAAATGGCGACTTTATAGTGAGGCCAGGTTGTTGCTATTAAAACAGTAGTTCAGACTTGACAAAATCCACGTTACAACATCTGAACTGTCTTTAATGCTGTTTTATTCCCAACCTTTTTGAGTTTGGGCATGAAAACAAGAGTTTAGTGATGTTCGCAGGTGCGCTGTACACTGCTGGGGTTTTGAAAACATTGTTTTTGTGTAGAACAAAACCATGGACGGGCTTGCGCTGGTTCTGGAAACGCACCCGTCGCATGACGATGTGCTCGGAGGTGCACACGCTGACATCGTGCAGACGTGCAGCACATAGGAGTTCATGCTCTGGTCTGTTTTAGCTCTCAACATGTGAAATCTCAACTAATGAATTAAATGGACATGTTGTGTAATGGCTGCGCAGGATAACGTATAGATGAGGTGCAAAGATGTAAAAACTACTCGGGTTGCAGTGTGCAGCATCTCTACCTCCTGCCTTTGTTTTTATAGTTTACCTGAACGCATCGTCATGTTGTAATAAAAAAAGCTCAGTCATCATTTATACATGACAGCGGGGCGCAGCGAGTCTTTAGGTTTGTTGCTTTATAAGAGACTGGCGGATTATGTAACGTGAGGTTTCGTCAGGCCGATTGTTCACAACCAATCCTTCTAGTTTTGTTTCCATTATCTGCAGAGATAATCCTCAAGATTAAATCTGTTGGCTGTAGACAGTAGTTTGAGTTGATTAAAATGTCATGCTATTTTCTCCTACATGCTTTTGATTTGATCTTTAATGAAAGTAAAAACAAAATTAGCAGACGGCATGGTTTAGGTGTATTTATGCATAAATATCACTGGGAGGTGGTGAAATAATCTGCCAAGTTCATGCTAGAGGTGGCGTTAAGGTCACTGCATGCTCTCACACTCATTTATTCAAATGTATTTTTAGTGTCTATGAATGTGCGGTTCACTGTGCGATGATTGTTTCTGTGTTTCAGTTCATTATAATCAGTCTGTTTGTACGTCTGCTTCAGGTTTGGCGGTAGGTTTGGGTATCGGAGCTTTAGCAGAAGTCGCCAAAAAGACCATCGGCATCAACGGGGCCGCAGGTGAAAACAAACACACACACGACACAAACACTCAGTGTTTTCTAATGAGGTAATAAAAAATACACAGCAATCCTTGCATCAGACTTTATATTAGGTGTGTGTTTTTGTAATAAAGCAATTAAGTCCTTATCAGAGTCATTAACTCTGTTTGTACCCGTTAGCTTTTTATTTAGTGTAGGGATAACTTCCTGTTAGTTTTCCTTTTGAGGAACTGATTATTTTCGTTTGTTTCTTCACGTGTGTTACATCATGTTCCACACATTTTGAGCTTTAACCAAACTGCTCTTTAAACGAGCGCGCCTCCTTTGCTCCGATAACTTGCTAATCCTCAAACACGGGCTAATCTGAAGCAGGGTGTCGAGGTGTAAAAGCCATCTCGTTTGTACATCTGTTGCTTGGTATTTATCTTTATTTGGGCTCTAACCTCAGCGAGAGGCACTCCGACACTCATGAGTGGAAAGTCTCTCTGAAGGCTAGCGAACCATAACACACAGCCTACTGACACAAACGCACACCTGAGGACAAACACCCTGTCGACGACTGTAAACTAGGACTGACTGCTGGATTCGGCCCTTTGGACGGTCGTAGGTGAAGAAGGAGCCGTTGAATCTATCGGCCGTTTTTTATTTACATAACTCTCATTATTAGACCATGAAGTTTGACTGTACTGTGAGACACTTGCAGGGTAATTAATTCTTTACTTTGCGAAGCAGCGGGGCTCTGGCAGGATAATGAAAACACCCAGCTTGTCAGGCTTCAGGTTATGTGTTTGTGGCCGAGGCAAGTTGTGACAGATCAGTGAGTCCTGCGGCGAGGTTGGAAAAGCGCTAACCTCCAAACACAGATACTGTTGTCTCTTACGGTTCTGCAGCCTCTACGATCAAAAGAGCCATTTTTATGCTTTCGTTCACTAAACTAAAGTGTTCAGAGCCGCAACAACCTGCTACAACTGTGGTTATCAAGTGGTGGCTCGTGGGCCACTTTAGGTTTGCTGGAGATGTTTGTGACCTTATACAGCTAAAAAATATCTGATTTTTAACATTTTTTGATAGTTTTTTTTTTTTAATTAATAAAAACTATGGACAATGCAAACCTATGTATTTTTTTTTATTGTGGAAAAATTACTTATGTATAGAAATAAAGCATAAAGTTACAGTGAGTATGTTTTACTCCTTGTACTTGTTCCAGTATTCACATATTTGCAAAAGAAATGACAGGAAAACAGCTAAAACCAGTCCCTTTTTGTTGTTTGTATAACAACCAATAAAATTCAGTTTTATGTTCGTTTGTCAAAGCTTGAAAGAGCCGCAGGTTGCATAACCCTGACCTGGTTAGTTCACCATCAACATTTTAAAAAAGGAGGAGAACTACATGCTTTTCTGTGTGCTACTGGAAGTCTACACACAATACCCTACAAATTATTGGAATGTGTTCTTGTTTTTAGTATTTTTAGTATTTTACCTTGTTTTATATGGCATCTTTTATTAAATTTTAATTGCTTTTTGTTGAACTATTGTTTACACTTTATATGTTGTCTGTCTACAACAGGTCTCTTGTAAACGAGTCCTCGTGACTCAGTGAGACTAACCTGTATAAATAAAGGTTGAATGAATGGAAAGAGCACAAGTAAAACACAAGTAACTAAAATTACAACCTTCAGCTTTATGAGACAGATAACGGCTTCTTAAGTTTTATCTTCTTAGTCCCAGCATGAATTCAATCACCGAGCCTCTTTTTGTTAATCGGCACAAGACGAGGAACACTTTCTGCTGACGGAAGTCTTTTTCTATCGAGCCTAAATACCAGCATTGATTTTTGTTGGGGTGGGGGCTTCTTTAGGTGAAAATAAGAATGCGGTTCTGGACTCGAGCCCGTTTCTGTCGGAGGCCAACGCCGAGCGCATCGTCAGAACTCTGTGCAAAGTCCGAGGAGCCGCGCTGAAGCTGGGACAGATGCTCAGCATTCAGGGTGAGACAAACGCACTCCTTCACGTTGTTCGCAGGGTTTTATTTGGTTTGATTGTAATCGGAGCGGTTAAACTGAACGGAAGGGTTGTTGTCGGTTTGTGAGCATGCTGTCCTTCAACTGGGCTCTTGATACGTTGAACACAGACAGAGCTGCAAGTAAGTGAAGCCGAGACAGCTTTGTTTCACTTTGAGCACTTTACTGATTGAAAATGATTTATTTTAGATCAGCTTTGAACAATTACAAAAAAATCTTTAGAGTGCCAAAACTACAGCTGCTGTTACAGCTGTTGCATCGATATTAACCTGCTTGTTGGCCCGTTTTGTTTGTGTTCATTTAAAAACTAAACTTTTTTTTAATAGCATTAATAAGTGTGGTGAGTAACTCTCAGCTACTACCACCTCAAAGTTTAGCTCCATCTTCGTAAAACTGACAGGGTTTTAGCCACTTTTTGATCTTTTATGTTCACTCCGTTATGTCAGCCATCTAGAATTGGGCTTGCTGTAGAGGTACACCTAAAGTTTAATTCCTGAAGGTTTCGTTACAATCCCTCCATTGGTTCGCAGAATATTTTGCTAACAGACAGACATGGACACAAATCTTTATTGCTCACCTTTGCCGCTCAGCGATGGGTAAACATCTCTGCAGTGAGGTCATAAACCCAGCTCAGGTGGCAGCAGTAAACACATCATCATGTTTTGTTTTCCACCGTTAACCTTTGACCTCGCCCGCCGAGCGTTTTCCTCTGGTGTTCGTGTTGTTCGCCCTGTCGGTGTAAAGCCGTGCAATCAGTGGAAAAAGCAAACGCAGTAATGGGAAAGAGAAGGACACCGAGTGCCTCACGTTTCCAGTTGGGTTTCAGCACCAGGAAAGACCTGATGGACGCGTGCACTGTCAGAACTGGGACGGCTATTTTTAAAGTGGTGACAAGTGGGTTTTTTCACAAGCAAAGGCGCTCCTGCAGCTTTCTAGAGCCTGACATAAGCAAACCCACAGCTTCTTCTCACACCCTGTAAATAGACAGGCGGTCTGATGAGGAGAATAAAAATGTCTGCTGGAGCTCTGCCCCCTGCTGACATTTATCTGTCACACAGTCAGAAAATCACCCCCAGCTGTGGCATTTGGCACAAATCTAACTGTGTTAACCCTGACGGTTGCTAATAAAGTTTTATTGCGTGAACGCATATGAAGCATGCTCACTGTTGTGATCCATTTTTCTTTTGTGTGTTTTGGACACGATTCTCGTCCCGCAGTTTTCAAGCTATTTTAACAACTCGTATATCAAAACGTTCTTTCAGGACAGTCCTTCTATGACTTTTGGTATTGGTGCAACTTTAGCTTTTTGAAATATTTAGCCTTTTCTGCTACTTTTTTTCTCATAGGAAATGAAATGAGCTAATTTTACATTCTTTAGATCTGTTTACAATCTTTAATGCTCCTTTCACATTTTGTTCTGGTTCAGTTTCTTTCAACTTCCTTGTGCAAATTTAATTTTTTTTTCAGCTACTTTCAGCTGGGGTTTTTCAGCTGATTTGTGATCCTATCAGGATCTTTCTGCTAACTTAAACATTTTTGTGCTACTTCTAACTTCTTTCTGCAAGTTTCAGCTTTTACTGCTATATTTAGCTACTATTTAGCTGGGGGTTTTTTGTTGCTAATTTGAGTTTTTTCATCTAATTCCACATTTTTTGCACTCGTTTCAACTTTTTCATTGTAATTCAGCACAAATGTGCTCTTTCAACTTTCTTCTGGTAATTTAAGCTTCTTTCTGCTTTTTTTTTTTAAGCTACTTTTCAGCATTTATTTAGCTAATTTCAGCTTTTCTTGGATAATTTCCACTCTATGCTCATTTCTGCTTCTTTCAACCTAATTCAGCAAATGTATGTCCTTTCTGCTTTACGCTGGTGAATATTCTCAGTCATCCAGGACATGGTAAATCCAAAACAAGATGAAAAGATTGATAGGGCAATCTGCATATGTATCTAGCTGAGCTCAGCTTTATAACTTGAACCTCGCACTCTCTGTCCTTTGAACTGAAAAAGCTGTTTGGATGAGAAGTGAAACGTCTTCAGTTACAAATAAAGTCCAGTTGTTTTTGCTTTTTATCTTGTTTTGGATTTTTTCTGCTTTCTTCTGCTAATTTTCGCTTGTTCTTCATTTCAGCTACTTTTCAGCTGTTTTTCAGCAGTAAGCATTCACACTGGATTTTTGTAGGAAATGCAATTCCTTTAGTTGTTTATTTTGTCTGCAATGTCAGTAAAAAGCACTCGTAGTAGCTTCCAAGTTGGGAGGTTGTATTTGCATTATTTTAAGGTTTTATTAGTGAATTCCAGTAAAGATTGTATTTGATAAGTCTGGTAACACTTTTAAGTTAGGTTTGTTGGAAATGCTTGGTCTTTGCCTTATTTTGACAGGTTTTTGTGTTTGTGTGCATTTCAGATGATGCATTTATCAATCCTCAGCTTGCCAAGATCTTTGAGCGTGTGAGGCAGAGTGCGGACTTCATGCCGCTCAAACAAATGACGGTAAGTCTCCTCTGTGACGTAAACCCAATATAACGATGAAGGATGTCCCAGTCTGAGCTCGATGACTGGGCGAGGCCTCGTTCACTGGGTGGCTGACCGTAACATTCGGGCTCTGTTTTTATGTCGGCCGTGAAAGCTGCATTTATTTACCAGCAAATAACAACATTAAAACTTAAATTAACATATCAGGGTACTTTTTAATCGAAGCTCTGCAGCTTTATCTGATCATTTACACCCAGCCTGAGATTTCCTGACACGACTTAAACAGTTTGGACTTGATGATATCACAGAGTCTGTGAAAGTGATGCATTCAGTGTCATTACAAAACTATTTTCATCTCTTCTTGTATTGCTTCTTTCAAACGTTTGTCGTTTTATTAAATTGACTTCCTTTAGGTAACACTAATAACGATTTATATAAAGTAAAGCCATTTTAAAGTAATTTTCTCTGTTTTTAACACGAAGCTGCATCTTTCAGATCATTATATGTCGTGCTGAACTGTTAAAAAGAACATATTTTAAAGTGAATATTAACACCAGTACCATGTTATATTGAAGTGAATTTGTGTTGCAGCACAATGCAAATATACAAATGATACTAAAATATCCCATATTTCTCAGTATTTCTCTATCGGTGTGCTCAATATTTAATGTATATTTAGCAAAGAATCTCCCAAAAATTGCAGAAACAAACTGAATGCAAAAATACAAATATGTCAATCAAATAGATTGTAGTGAACTTTGTAATGACCCATGTGGGTTTATTGAAACCGATGTTGAACACTAGTATCCCAATCGCTCGTTTTTCTATTTCTGTCAGCCCTGATATGTACTTGCCAGAAGATTCTCTGTTTGAAATCATTTTCTTGGCATCTGGATCAGAACCTCCATGTTTATATTTTAGTATAAATATGGTAATTGTGCTGTAATGAGAATATCAACTTTATTTGTCTAACAATATCATAAAGCCCAAATGTAAATAAAATACAAAATGTTGCAGCTAACAGCAGCAGGTGGAACATTCTCCCCAGAAGTATTTGATGTGAGAAGCCCTAAAGAAGAAACAAAGAGGCTAATATTTGTGATAATTTATGCACTTTGAGAAACAGCCTCAAATGTTTATTACAACTAGAAAACGTCCATAGTTTTTGTATCGATGAAAGGCGATCCGATCTCTGCTTCACATCACATCTTCCAGGACACAGAGCTCCATCTGTCGTGTTTTATTTTTGTCCACCTGCAGAAGGCGTTGAACAGCGACCTGGGTCCGAACTGGAGAGACAAGCTGGAGTCGTTCGAGGAGCGTCCTTTTGCAGCGGCGTCCATCGGCCAAGTTCACCTGGCGAGGATGAAGGACGGCAGGGAGGTGGCCATGAAAATACAGGTGAGGGTGAGAAGATGTGCAAGTCTGGTGTTATTACGACAAACGCGTTACTGGAAAGAGTAAAGATCATATCTCTCCTGTGTTTGGTCATTTCATTACAGAGTAGGTCTGGTTACTAAGAAAATATGAGCTCAAGTTCTTTTTTGCTTGTTTCCAGTGTAAAATTAATATTTTTAAAACTCGCACAGAATAATGGAGCACATCAGTAGAGTTGATGCATAAAATGTTGGACTGAGGATCACACCAGCTGTTTGAAGGGCTGCATTTATTTATTTTAAACTTGCTATCACAGTTTTGGTACATTACATTATTTTAGAAACTGAATTAAAAACGTGTCTTTTTATATATTTTTGTCTTCAGTATCCCGGTGTGGCTCAGAGCATCAACAGCGACGTCAACAACTTGATGGCGGTGCTGAACATGAGCAACGCTCTGCCTGAAGGTGCGCCCTCAGAGGAGCCTACAAGCACACATTGAATTCTTCTTCTTGTCCTTGCAAACCATGGCTCGGGCCAATAGCATTCCCACAGGGGAGTCTTTGTTCAGTCACATGTTTTATTGCTGCATGAGTGAACAAAAAGAACATTAAAAATGTGTTTACACAATTAATTTCTGGCATTTATACCCCAAAAATATTTCAACTGTGCTGCTTTTGTGCGTAAATAATGCACTTCCCATATGACTTCTTCTAGCTCCATTCTTGCTCTGTGGCTGCATTAATTCGTTGTGGTGCCACCTAGTGTTAAACTGAAGAACTGCACTGAATATTTACAATTACCGTAGTTCAGAGGTAATGATCTTTTTATGGATGCCAAAGCGCATACTTAAATTCTGGCACCCCCTGCCCTGATAAATTCATTGCTACTTCTAGTATCGAGGTCAAGGACAACTCCTTTACATCTCTTGTTGACTTTACTATACAAACGTATTTTTAAAGTTTTATTGGTACTTTTCATAGTCTTGCCTGCCAATCGATTTTCTGTGCTGGGCGACACAGTCAAAACCAGGTGAACAGAATAAAAGTGTTGTTTGGATTTAGGATAAAAAACATCAATATAAGTGCGATGAAACATTAAACTTAAGAAAAATGTCTAATAATCTTTTGTCATATAACGAGACCGTATTGATAGTAACAAATACACACAAATGACAAATAAAATTGATTATATGTCGTAGACGTGAATTTATCTTGTTCACGATGCATCACAAAACAGACTGAGCATGTGCATTAGTTGCACCAAAAAAAATGGTAAGCTGTAACATGACCCATGTAGAAAAGTGTAAGTATAATCTGGGTTTTTTTTTTTTTGTTTGTTTTTTAAACACCAAAAAATAGTTATAATTCACTTTAATTTACTTTCATCTCAATAACTTCTCTGTCTTTATTCATCAGGCAGCTAACTGTCTCAGATTCTTGTCTAAAAGGGCATCCTGCTTAATTTTCCATAAGGTTTGATCAAATAAATCTTCCTCGGGACACAAGTAGTGACATTTACATTTTAATATGGGTTGAGTGTGGAGCGTTTAGTTTCAGCTGTGCCTCTAAGGCGGCAGCCAAGACCTGAGGTGGAAGAGTCTGACACATTTCTTGACTGCTCTGTGACGATGTTTACCTCGGCTGATATATTTTAACGTTTGTTTTTCATCCACAAGGCTCCTTTCAGGGTAATATAAACTGTTACAACTGCGTCCTGAAAGAGCCCACTTTCTGTTTGTAGCTCAGCTCGTGAGGAACTTTAACGCAGACGCTCGTGTCTGATTTAGGAAAACGTTGCTTTAAAAGTTTAGACGTGTGAGGTCTGTTGCCTTTGGGGTCGATCTTTCAAGCATTTGTTCTTCTTTTAGTTTATGGTTGATTTACATGTATCCTGTTTGTTTTTCCTTCCTCTGTAGGTCTTTTTCCTGAGCATCTGATCGATGTAATGAGGAAAGAGCTGGCACTGGAGTGCGACTACATCCGAGAAGCCCAGTGCGCTAAAAAGTTCAGGTATTTATTGTAAAAGTTTGAGGAGACGTTTGTTGTGCTTCATGGACTGGGTGACTGCTCTGTTACCACTCCTGAATCCTCGTGTCTGACTCAGGGAGCTGTTGAAGCACGATCTGTTCTTCTACGTCCCGGAGGTGATTGAGGAGCTGAGCGGCAGCCACGTTCTGACCACTGAACTTGTTCCTGGGTTTCCTCTGGACAAGGCTGAGAACCTCTCACAGGAGCTGAAGAACGAGGTGCGCCTGAATGTGTTCCTGGTTTGATTTCAAGTTTAGGAGCTCCACCTTCTTCAACCAGGACAAAAAATGGCTAAATGGAAAGTAAGTACACTAGTCAGCCAAATTAACCGTAAGCTTCCTCTTTTCTTATTTCAGATCTGCAAGAGCATCTTGTCGCTGTGCCTCAGAGAGCTGTTTGAGTTCAGGTACATGCAGACGGATCCCAACTGGTCCAACTTCTTCTACGACCCGCAGACCCACCGGGTGAGTTCTTCTACAGCTTTAACGAACGGTGAGCAGTGAGTTCCTGCTAGTCTGCATGTGAGATGATTGTTCTTTGGCTCTGTAGGTGGCGCTGTTGGACTTTGGAGCTACCAGAGGATTCGATCAGAGTTTCACCGATGTCTACGTAGAGGTGAGGTCACTCACACTAATCGTGTGAACGCTCATGAAGCATTCACTCTGTTGTGATCCATTTATCTTCTGTACATTTTTCAGCACTGCAGTTTTCAAGCTATTTTAACAAATCATAAATAAAAACATTCAGGACAATCCTGCTGTAACTTTTGGTATTGGTGCAACTTTAGCTTTTTGAAATATTTAGTCTTTTCTGCCATTTTTTCCCCTCATAGAAGATGAATTGAGCTCATTTTACATCCTTCAAATGTTTAAATCTGTTTACATTTTACTGCTCCTGTCACATTTTGTTCTGCTTCAGCTTCTTTCAGCTTCCTCATGCAAATTTAAACTTTTTAGCTACTTTCAGCTAATTTCAGCTGTTTTGTGCTCCTTTCAGATTCTTTCTGCTAACTACAACATTTTTGTGCTTCTTAACTTCTTTATGCTTATTTTAGCTTATTTATGTTCCTTTTAGCTTTTTCTGCTATTTCAGCTACTACAGTATTTAGCTGTTTTATGCTAATTTAGCCTTTTTGGGTCATTACAATTTTTTTTGCACTCATTTCAACTTTTTTTCAGCCTACTGGTAATTCAGTAAAAATGTGCTCTTTCCACTTCCTTTTGGTAATTTAAGCTTCTTTCAACTTTTTTTAGCTACTTTTCAGCTGTTTCTTAATTTTAATTTTCCTTATTTCAGCTTTTTTCCAGATAATTTCCACTTTTTGTGCTCATTTCTGCTTCTTTAAGCCTAATTGGGTAAACATGTTATTTCTGCTTTCTTCTGCTAATTTAAACTTGTTCTACCTTTTCAGCTACTTTTTAGCATTTTTAGCTAATTTTGGCTGTTTTCTGATAAATTCAAGTTTTTTTGCTGTAATTTCTGCTACTTTCAGCTTATTTGTGTTAGTTTATTTCAGCTACTATTCTGCCGTTTTATGCTAATTTTAGCTTTTTCAGTTAATTCCACATTTTTTGCACTCCTTTCAACTTTTTTCAGCCTAATTCAGCTAAAATGTGCTTTATCCACTTCCTTCTGGTAATTTAAGCTTCTTCCTGCTTTTTCAGCTACTTTTTAGCTATTTTTTTCTCATTTCAGCTTTTTTTTTGGCTAATTACGGTAACTCATTTTTGTGCTCATTTGTGCTTATTTAAACCAAATTCAGCAATATGTGTTCTTTCGGCTTTATTCTGCTAACTTAGGCTTGCTTTTCCATTTCAGCCGTTTTTCAGCAACTTCTTCAGCAATAAACATTCAAACTGCATTTTCGCAGAAAATGCAATTTCTCTAGTTGGAATTTAGATTCACAAAATAAATGTTTGTCCACTATGATTATTAATTTGATACTTTGTTTTTCTTTGTGACGTGAAGAATTTTTTTATTTCATTGCTTTAAAAACATAAATCTGACCCTTGCTGTGTCTCCATGGTTACTCTGGGGTTTGACTTGTTGCTAAAGTGACATTTTGTATTTAAAAAATACATTTGTGCAACTTGTTTTAGAAATATGAACTCTTGGCTCACTGACAGGAGCTTCGTATCAGATCTTAACTTATTAACCCCCCCCCCGGTTAATAATTGCTAACTAAACCCTGCACGAGGAAGTAAAATGAGTCAAACGTGTGTTTTGTAGGTAATCCGATCAGCTTCTGAGGGCAACAGAGAAGGAGTCCTGAAGAAATCTATCGAGATGAAGTTCCTCTCAGGTTACGAGTCCAAGGTAATGATCTGTGTGTTCTCACTTGTTGCTTGTTGTGAATTTGGTTCCAATATCTGTGATTGTGCTTCAACTCTTTTCCAGGTGATGGTGAACGCTCACGTGGATGCGGTGATGATCCTCGGCGAGGCCTTTGCGTCCACGGAGACCTTCGACTTCGGATCTCAGTCCACCACCGAGAGGATCCACAACCTGATCCCGGTGATGCTCAAACACCGGCTCACCCCTCCTCCAGAGGAGACGTACTCGCTGCATCGCAAGATGGGCGGCTCGTTCCTCATCTGCTCCCGGCTGAAGGCGAAGCTGCAGTGCAAGGAAATGTTCCAGCAGTCGTACCAGAAGTACTGGGAAGGCCGCACTCTGCCACCTCACTGAGCCGGGCTGCGGCGGGCAGGTTGTTGGACTTGTTCTGGGGCCAGCAGCAAAGTGCTGATTGATGGGTTGATGGGAGTGGTTTGGAGTGAGAAGATGAAGTTCTGTCACACCTGTCTTTGATCAGAGAACCAGTGTTTTTACTAGTTTGGAAATCAAACTAGGAAGATTTGAAAAGCCATCCATCCATTTTCTTTATCCACTTCTCCTTTCTGGGTTGCGGGGGACTGTTGCCCATCTCCAGCAGTCACTGTGCGAGAGGCGGAGGACACCCTGGACAAGTCCATCAAAGGGACACATAGAGACAGACAGCCATTCACACTGAGGGTTAGAATAATAGTTGTTTTGGTCTGTGGGAGGACACCGGAGTAAACCATCCTGTCCACAAGGAGAACGTGTAAACTTCACCCAGAGAAGCCATCAAACTAATTCAAAGAAACATTTGATCATTTGCTAGAAGGAGAGGATCGTGGTGTCTGCAGATTTTTAGCTGAATGTGTATGGTCGGCCCCGAACGGAGAACAAGAATGTGAAAAGTTTGGACTTTTAGCTCTTCTCCTGATAGCTTCTACATAAATCTTGGATCTTCTGTTTGCCGTCGTTTTGTTTTTGTATTGCTGTGCTTTTCTGAACTTTTAGATAACAAGGTCCAGTTTTATATTTACCACAATCTTTTTTTTTTTTTTTGCTAAGAATGCAACACTGATTGTAACCGGAGACCTGACCTCAAACTACCAAACCAGAAGTCTCAGCCTGATGAAGTTTGATGGACTCCGTGGACTTTGAGTCTCAGTTTTGACCAACGTGTCTGTGTCATGAATACGTCGGCTCCTTTTCAGGACGCTTGGTTAAAATGGTCTGCATATGCATAATAAAGCTGATTGAATAGTTTAGTGCGGATTTAGCGTTGAAGTTGTCGACAGGTGCTTTGGCTTGATCACAGGTGTTCGTCAGTCTTTACGCAGAAGATCTGACTCAGGTTGTGTATTTATAGCACATACAGAAACTTTGTCCCAGCATCACCGTCCAGATCACACTTCAGCTGCTGTGCTTACCTTTTAGCTTTTTTTTTTTTTTTTAATTTTTTTTTTTTTCCGGCAAACTGTAGATTTAAAGGTTTATTCTGATTTAAATGGCATTTAATTGTGTTTAAGGTCGACCGATGAGATTTTTTTTTTTTTTGGATGACCAATTCCAACATCTGGACAGCTGAACGTTAATTTATGAAGCAAATGTTTTATTTAGTTTTTAGCCCCAAAATGCACCAGTTTATTCTGTATTTACATTAAAATATAGGCTATGAAAGGGAGGGTAAAAACCAAAACTGTGACTAAACTTGGTACAATGTTCACAGAAGGGTGTGAGATGATCAGTGTTCAGAAAACCAGCTGCTCACATCTGTAATGTTTTAAAGCCCACACGGCGTTAATCTGGAACAGTGAGGGAAGTGTCACTGGACTGCGACTGTTCAGGACTACCGTAGTTGGCGACTCAAAATTGCAAAAATTCTGCGTGTTTTCACGCACACAACTTGTAAAATTGCATTCTTGGCCGTGCACGTTTTGTTTCTTACCCACCTTCATCGTCAGCTGCCTCCATGTTTTTCTACCGCAGCACAATTTTGAATTAGGATTAAGCAAATTTGGACAATTAATGTTTTTTTAAATGTTGGCATGGTTTTTAGGCCTGAACATTTAGAGGTGGTTAAGCAAATACAGTAGTCCCTCGATTATCGCGGGGGTTACGTTCCGCACACCCCCACGATAGGTGAAAAACTGTGAAGTAGGAACGCTATATTTATTTTAGTATTTTTATATATTTTAAGGTTTTATAAACCCTTCCCACACTCTTGCAATGTTCTAAACTCTTAAACCTACGTAATTTTAACAACATACGTATTTGTACTGTACAGTACTGCAAAATTTTACGAGTACTCGCCAACCTTGGTCCGGTTCTGATCGGCTCTCTGCAGCCGTTGAACACCAAGATGCTTTTGAGAGGCTTCCTGTGCCAGCGAGTAGAATTCAGACTAACCGCTGAGGCTGGAAGTAGCCTTGGTCCGGTTCTGGTCCAGTTCCGTACAGCTTTCTGCGACCACTGAGCGCCGAAGTCACGATGAAGAAGTACCAAACTTTTTAGTCTTGTTTGGATCGGATCAAAACTTTACCTCCATTTCGCCAGAAAGCGGCAGATGGAAGCACTGTTGGCTTCTGGGTAGTGTAGTTCTTTGACTGGTGTTACAGTATAGGCTTATTGAAAGAAAACTACAAAATGGCGGCGCCTGTCCGATGTACTTTTTTTTTTTTTTGCTTTTTATCCCCTACCGTCCCAATCACATGAGTTGTATTAAAGTTGACAATCGTTGAAAGAGTGAGTCCGCAAAAGTCGAACCACGAAGTAGCGAGGGACTACTGTGACTATTTTGAAAATTAAATTTGTTGCAGATTTATTAAATACATTGAGCAACAAAACTACAATTCTGCAATATGCGCAAGGAAATAGAGGATCACGCTGTAACGTTTTAAGACATTTTGGAGACGCCCTCACAAATGCTGTTCATAAACTACCGGTAGTCTTGCACAGCCACAGCTCGGTGAGACACTGCTTCTAGTACGAGCAGGCCATGTTTAATTCGTAAAGAATAATAGTAAAGTTGCAACTTTATTCTGGTCAGCTCTGACTGTTGTCTGCCTAAAAAAGGCCTCTTTGCTGTTAAAGGCCCCCCCATTGCAGGACGTGCGCTGCCCACACATATGCCTGCTTTTAACCAGATAAGGGATTAATGCTAATAATTTTCAAACTGATAAAAATCAGCCTGATAATTTTTAGTTTAAGGCTTGAATTGACTGCATCATCTTTATATTAGCTGTAGCTTTTCATCTTTTTCACAATTTTGAGTTTCTTTTTTAATTATGTGAGACATTAATCGTTGAATTGCAGCTGATTACAAACCGGAGCATTTTGCCTGCAAGTTTTCCACGTTTCTTTAGAAATTGTCAAACCTTCTTCTGAATGGATCCACTCAGATCCACGTTGCTATTTTTCAGTCCAGTCCACGCTGGGTCTGCGCTTGGTCATGAATGTTGATGAGACTACAGGGTCGAAAGAAACTCCTTCTGATAAACGCACAAGATCAGCTTGTGGGCTCACCTCGCTCCCACGAGTCTGCAACGTTTCCACACCTCCGCGTGTATATATATAAAAATAAATCGATGATCAGATGTGTAAATACAATAATAATGCTCTATGTTGGGAAAATGGGGCAAGGAGGAAATAAATTCAATGTGCCTGTAATTTTACGCAAATAGCTTACGTCTAGGATTATCAACTTAACCATTTAATGTTTGTTTTCAATTTTATAATCAAAAAATAACTGGAAGTTAGAACAGTATGTTGTATCAATAGAGTAAATGTTTTATCTACTCTTGTCACTGTGTGGTTTTCTTGGATCTAAATGTATGAATGGACTTCAAATAAACATTTCTATTTTACCGTTAACCTCCGAAAGCAACAGATAAGACATTTAAGGACTCTGTGGAACTGTGATGACTAAAAGATATCTTACCTGTTGTAGATGGCTCTTTAAAAGACTTCAGTCCAGAGAAATAGTTTAATTCTGACTGGACTGACGAGCTCACAGTTACTCAGAGTGGCAGAGAGTAATAAAGTATTAACATGATTATCAATTACCACTTACGATGTGTATTTGATGTGAACAACTTCTGACCTGCTCAGACTAGTCATTAGCTCCTCAATCCCTTCAGAATCTAACTTTGTGTCTTCAAGCTGAGGTTGAACGCACTAAAAAAATCTGAACTACACCTTAAGAGATACATTGTTTTTAAAATAAAAATACAAACGAGTCGTTTGTTTGCAAGATCTTGTCCAGCAGGGCAGAGGGGGTCGGGAAAACGAGAACACAAAATACTTTACAAAGTGGGGACACAAATTTAAATATTTTGGGCAATTAACGAGTTTGGTCATTTTTTAAACTGATTTCTCAAACTGTTATAATTAGTAACTTATTAGTCGCAGAACAAGGAGAATGAAGAAAAGAGCAGAACGTGACTGGCCTTATTAACTGTGTAATACTGATATGCCTCAGAGCTTTTCAGGTCGTTCATCGCTTCACAATCGGAAGCAACTGTCAATGAAATAGCTGAATATGCTAGTAGATGTAATCTGCAGCCACTTCTTCAGGTCGTCCTCCATCCCTCGTCCGCAGTAGGCAGCTGTATGATTATATTGTTGTGTTTGAACTCTTACAGGTGCTGTTCCTAGTTCCTACATGTTTAAATTAAATCCACAATGCTCAGAATAACTTCGCTGGTACGGTTACGCATAAACAAACGCAGTTTCCGCTCCGCGCCGGAAGTCGCGCACACTATTCACGCAAAGCATCATGGGATGTAGGAATAAAGTAGCTAAATATAACAAATACCGTGTAAATGTTTATTGAAATATTGATTGTAATATTCGCAAATGCAATACTCCTTGACAGTACAACTAAAAAAAACAACTAAAAAAAACATGAATAACAACTACTTGTTGGGCTAGCTGTTAGCCTAGCGTGGCCGAAGACTCCCCCAGCCCTTATGAGTCTTCATGCGCTGACTGCCACGCTGATAATCGGGTACTATTTTAACTATTTAACAGAATATCACGTCAAAATTTACCAGACTGTCCCTTCAATGTCTGCACGGGAATTTGAATACCTATAAGTGACGAAAAACTACAATGAAACTTGAAAGATGTGCTTAAACTTCACCAGGACTGTGGAAATTGGTTGCAGTTCACATTTCTATCCAGCAGGTGGCGCTGTACTTCTATCTGAGACCAGAATCAGGTCTTCCTCCTGAAATGCTGACAACATAATCATAAAACAAACGAATATAATCAGCCTCAAGCCAAACAGCTCGTTATTTGGAGCACAGCTGGTTATTCAGCTTTTAAATCAGTAAATGTAATTTCTGCTTTATTAAACAATATCCTATCAGCAGAGGTGGGACAGATTAGAAGGAAAGATGATTACACAGAGATTAAATTAGGTACACAAACTCATAAGTATATCCAACCCACTGGTGAATTTATACAAACCTGTCTGCTGAAGTATTTCAGCTGATGTAAAAATAGTTTATACTGTATCCAATAAAATATTAACACTAGATAAAGCTACCAACAACCACAGAGTAAAGAAAGATAAATAGTGCTGTTTCGTATATTCATTCAACCTTTATTTATACAGGTTAATCCCATTGAGCCGCGGGGACTCTTTTACAAGAGAGACCTGATATAGTTTCAGAAACATGAGGGGGGAAGGAAAGTTTTGATGTATGTCAGCTGTCTGTTAGACAATACAGAAAAGAGGCATCCGCCCTGCACACAACATGCCGCGGGCGTGGCTAAACTAGTACAAAAAACAGCCCACCTGGTGATGGGACACACCCTACATGTGTTGACATCACATAGTGTGGTTGCCTTTGTAAATTCACAAAACTTCACTATGTCACCGTTAAGACAACAGAGGATAAACAAGATCCTGGAAGCACCGAACTTGTTGTTCACACATGAGGGAATAAACATGGCAGACAGGATTGGAGGAGGTGAACCACACATCTGTGAGAGGAGAGTGGAAATTGATGACAGGGTCAGACCAGACTTAAAGGCCGCACCTCTTGGAGAGGGACAGGTGCTGTTTTGTGATGGAAGTTGTTTTCGAACGCAGGAGGGACAACTCAGCGCAGGCTTTGCGGTCGTGCTGGAAACAGACCAGGGTTATCAAACTGTAGTGTGTGAGAAATTGCAGGGGCCTCAGTCAGCACAGAGAGCTGAGGTGAGGGCTCTGATTTCAGCACTTACTTGGGCGGAAAGCAAAAAAGTGACTATCTTCACAGACTCAGCGTATGCTTTTGGAGCAGCTCATGTGGAGCTGGCCCAGTGGAAGAGGGGAGGTTTTCGTACAGCTAACGGGAAACCGATCAAACACGAGGCAGATATGAAAGAATTAGAAACAGCTCTGATGTTACCAACAGAAATTGCCATTGTGAAATGTCGAGGTCATGATACAGATTGCTCAAGCATAGCTAAAGGAAACTGTC